AAATAAGTTTTTAACGGCATCGTTTCCGGGATACAATTTATTCTTAATACTGGTTTTTGTAACAGACATGTTATTAGCTTCATTCGAACTTTCAACATTATATTTCTTCACTACGAAAGAACGATCTTTATTCGGCAATGTTTCGCCCAACTTGTCCTTACATTCAGTTCGATTATTCACCTGAGAGTCATTGAAACTCGATCGCACGTTATTTATTAAATTTCGGGAACTTGCTGCAATTTCTGACTTCCCATTGTTCTGTTCATTATCAACACAATCGCGTTCGGCAGCAGCAGCGACGTCACTGTGCCCGGTTTTTGTCCGGGTCCTTTTAATTTGTTTGATAGCGGGATGCGATCCTGGCATACAACTTATTACTCCGCAACGTTCGCATCTGTGCAAGGAGGAGTCATTTGAGAGAAGATCCTCTAATTTCTTGTGACGCCGGGCCAACAAACTTTGTAACGCTCGCGAAATCTCGTAGCAATTATTAGTCAGCATGGAAATTTTAGAATCAGAATCCGTAACAAGGTCGAGGATCTTATAAAGATCCGCGCCTAGCTCGACGAAAGGTGCAACCAACGAGTTGTTCGTATCTTCACACGTTTGAGAATGTACATCTTCTTCATTCATGTCATCCTTTGTCCGAGTGTGCGATTCTTTCTTACTTTCGTGTAATGCAGAGATCGACTTATCTGACGTCAAAGAGCAGCGTGAATAATCGTGGTTTAATTTTTGACAGAAAGGCGCTAAAGGTGTGATTTGCGATTTTTCTCTGTCCTTTTTCTTTTCACTTCCCTCGAACGGAAGATAGAAATCACTTTCTCGCTCACTTATGGTGCTTAAAGTTCTCGTCGAAGGTACTAGTGTAGCATTCGAGAATGTAGCTTGGGATGTAATCGATGGCGCTGTTGTTACCTCCCTTAAATCATGGTAATCCATATTCGATGATGCGCAGTAGTCGTAGGAAGATCTCGATGTAATGCATTTTCTTCTACGTCGATCTGTCTAGTAGCAGATGGACTTTATTATATACACATATTCTTACATTTTTCATAAATAGCTATTAAATGCAATCATTGATTCATTTTGACAAGTACTTTTATTACCAGTTACGCTGCACATTCGCCCATCAATCCATGAAAAAAGATTCTATTGTAATCAAATTTCGACTATTGGGGTGCCGTTAAGAATATTCCAAGATATTCTTATCAAAGTTATATACAGTTACATGGCACATAGGTTATAAATTTACTAAGATTTACCTGAAGTTTGTCATTTAAGGTGGCTTCTGCGTAAAGCATAGTACATACAACTAGTAGATCCACTCTCTGCCAACCCTTTCGATCTTCGCGGTCCCGATCACGTGGTATTCCGCCATACATCCGGACAGGATTTAGCGACGTGTGTGCGTATACGTGTGTACTCATTAAAGCCACACCACAGATTAATAGACAGATCGCCAAAGGCCCGGGTGAAGTCGAGACCACCAAACACTTTGCCCCTTATCGACAGACTTGGCCCCTAGGTGCGAGTTCGAACTAAATATATCCGTAAATATATCCGATTTTATCGACAGAATTGCCTATATTTGGTCTAAGGTCGGTATTGATAGTCAAATCTTATATTCAAGACCGTCTTAAGATCATCTCTCGATGCTCCATGGCCAATGAAATATTCCATGCAGCATCTTTAGATAAATTCAAGACAGTCTTGAATATAAGATCTGACTATGAATACCATTCTTAGACCGGTATTCATAGTCAGATCTTATTTTCTAGACCGTCTTAAGATCATCTTTCAACGCTCCATAGCCAACGAAATGTTTCATGCAGCATCTTTAGATAAATTCAAGGCGGTCTTGAATATGAGATCCGACTATGAATACCGGTCGAAGTCTTAAGAGGATCGTTCAGCCGTCTTTTTTACCGAAAAACTATATTTGACTGTGTCGGGGAAAAAGATAACTGAAGGAGTTCGCCGATGGCTGAGGGAACAGGCAGTTCAATTAAAAAGGCACAATTAAAATTAAATACTGTTCGCACCGTACGTAATCAGATATCATCGAATTCGATTGCCAATGTGATCTGTTCGATCAAGCCGTCACTTTTATATTCACGCGAATCACTGAACGCAATTCTTCAGAATCGTTCGGTACGTCGTAGCAGTAGAATCTCTCGACTGCTCTTCGCTTACGATACGGATTTACCTGTCGCACAATTAACTCTTCCGTTCGGCGACTCGTGCAGATATCAAAGTGACGATGTAATCGAACAGTTCGCATTAGCAATCGGACTCGGTGACAATCGGACACAGTGAAAATCGAAGATAGTGGCATCCGGATACAGTGATTTTTCGCGAGTGCATCGGAGGACAGCTGAGACAAGGACACCTACCTGAGTGGAGGATGAAGCCTACAATAGGCATCGCAGGGATTCAGCGATCACGCGATGATATCGATCACCGATTATTCGCAGAGAGCGATCGCGATTTCTTCCCGTTACTTGTCGCGAAGGCGTATGAAGAAAGAATAATACGATATGCGTAGCGACGCGCGGGCATAATAGACTCGTTTAATTGTCGCCGCGTGAATGATCCTGCGTACGGCGTGACCTTGTTTCGCCGAGCGCCGTAAACAACTCGGTCGAAAACCGGCGCGCCGGTTCCACAAAATGACGTAGCGCCGTGAACCCTCGGTCGAAAACGATCTATCATTCGGCGCGGTTCAGTCGAGCGAGGCGGATATTTCGCGTGTCTTCGCGTCGCTCCTCGTAACACGATCATTTCCTACGAGAATCTCGATCGTGCAATTGTCGCGATTCGTAATCACATCGTTGATTTCTACGGTGATTCGTCGAGATGAATATCACGCGTAATTTGAAGAGAAAATGCGATCAAAAGCGCAAGGTAATACACGAATCGTCGGGTAAAATTATAATATGTTCCTCTCCCTCCGCTCCTTTTTCTCGACACTAGAGCTACTGGA